GTGGAACCTCTTCTAACCGGTTCGGTAGATTTGACGAACCGGTTCTACCGAACTGGTGCGACCTGGTAGGAACCCACCTCTGTTGTACCCCAACTGGAATATATAAATAATTTTTTACTCCAGGCTTGCTCAAATTAGAAGAGAATAGGGGATTCATTTCTTATCCCACAAATCACATTAGCTCATAGGCAACAGCTAATATAAGCACATTTACATGTCCCCTTAAATGCAGCTTGAGGATTTTTGAATAACATATCTATCGGCCCTCTCTACTGTAGTAGCTGACAGACAACTGTACAATGAACAGAGCATGATTTTTTGAAGTCCTATTTACTCCTTCCTCAATCCCTCACCTAACATTTGGCAGATTGCATGATATGGCAATTGGCTGAAGTCAATGCTATCTACACTACTGTTAGCCTTGAGAGATATACCAGACTGGAAACCATGACCAGGTGACTTAATTCTACTTTATTATAAGGTTACGTTAACATAATCTTGCAAGTTTGAAAGTGCTTCTCTTCCTTAATCTCCTTTATAGCCCCCAAATTAGGGAGGGTCTTTTTGTAAGCCTCTTGCCCCACACATTCCTGCTGTGGGATAAGCTGACTTTTATACAACTGTTCTATTGGTTGAGTCTCATTGCCCTGCCTCCCAAAGTCATCTCTATGTACCATTACAGCTACCTGGGATAGCTGGATTTGGGATCAGAAGGATGGGCAAGGAGCAAATATTCCTGCTTCGGTGTGTTAACAGGTTGCATGAGTGATCTAGGAATTCAATATAATGGTTCACTCCAACTCATGAACTCCAACAAGTGCTCTAAGACAGGGGCAGACTAGCAAGGCACTACTTCATATTTCACATGCTACTTGACAGCCCTCCCCATAGATGCTTTGCTTTGTTTTGCTGCAAATGTTACCCTAACAGTGTAATTGGGTGACTGTGGTGGATGCAAGAGATCCACATAGCCACAGTAAACCAGAACTCTCCCTCTCAGCTGATCAGGCTCTGACAAACTCAGCATTATAACCTTTGCTCCATGGAGAGTAATAGGTAGTAGGTTTTTTTTGCTGGGTAGGTAGCAATAGCAATAGCAGTTAGACTTATATACCGCTTCATAGGGCTTTCAGCCCTCTCTAAGTGGTTTACAGAGTCAGCATATCGCCCCCACAGTCTGGGTCCTCATTTCACCCACCTCGGAAGTGAACCTTTGAGCCGGTGAGATTAGAACCATCGAACTGCAGATAACAGTCAGCTATAGTGGCCTTCAGTACTGCACC